TTGTGTACCTGCCCCTCCAGCATCGCCAGCCCATTATTTTTTTCTGCAGTAGTTCTTGTCAGCAAACACTGGATGGACTATAGATACTCTTAGATTTCACTTCTTAGCTGATTCCTCTATTAACTTTCCCCATAGTGCTTTGTGGTTTTTTTGGGTGGTTTGTTTGTTTTGGCTTTTTTTTTTCTTTTTTTGATTGATGTAAAGTTAATTAGATAGCCATTTCTGTAATTTCAGTTTTAAAATGATTCCTGGGCTTGGAATGTGGAAATACTTCATTGCACTGGGATAACGATTTCCCATGTGCCTCTGTAATGCATGGCACTTGCCCTGCTGTCTCAGACAGCTTAAGTGTGATTGAGTAACTAGAACCAGTTGAAACATGTTGTCGCCTTCCAGCCTCGTTCGTAGTTTCGGAGTTTCCTCCTTTTTTCCCTCCTGAATCCCCAAAGACTTTATTAAGACAGCTTTGTGGGAACCATTAACTCTAAGCTGTATAATTATGTTACTTTGACTTAGTGTATAGCAGGAAAAAAAGCATGCATCTCTAGAAATTTATATTCCTCAATGACAGAATTTTAACTTAGTAAATTAAAAGGTTTACTCAATTTACCTAGGAAGTTATAGTAATTAACAGCAAGAGAGTTTACCTGCAGAAGTACTAAATGCAATAAAGTAGGTTCTGTGAGAACGTGACACTAGTGAGCTGCCGTGTTATTATCCTTGTTTTTCACCTTCCAAATTGCACGAGATGCCTGTGTACTTCAAGAAAGGGATAGTGTTGCTGTTCAGCTTGCTTTTTTTTTTTAGAAGCAGTGACCAATATTTAGCATATTTATATTTACTTAGTGATGCACTTTATGTCATCAGTGCACAGCTCAGAATTGCCTGCATTTTTGATGCTAGAAATCAGGCCAGTTTTTTTTTTTCCTATTTTTTTTTTCCAAGGCATATGTACACAGAATAGTGCAGTTAAACTGATCCTCAAGCCAGTATTTGTGTGGTGCTGTGTGACTGCACTCTCACAGTTGCATTTTAGACTACCTAATGACAGGCTACCTTCCTCTCCCTCTCCTTCCCCTGCCATGCCCAGCGACTGCAGTTACTAAACCAGGGCAGACCGTGCTGAAGCACCCTCACAGCATGTTCTTGCTCCTCTGTCGCCCTCACAGCGCCAACGGCAGCAGCCAGCATTGTATCTTGTGATTAGGAGGTGGCACCAGAAACGAGCCTTTCCACCACCTTTTCACCCTGAAAGGCCAATGACTTTTTTTTTTTTTAGCGATTTGCAACAAATGCACAGGTTTCTGGGATGGATGGACAGACAAGCTGCATTGTTTCAGATTTTGGTGGTGCACTTAATTAAATGCTGACATCCTTATTTCTATTACTCCTGCTGAGAAATGGGCTGGGGGGGAAGGAGTGGGGCTTTATCAGTTATTAGTATTTTGACTTTTTTTCATAGGTCTAGCCCAGGCATCCACACAGTTAAATTTCCCTCATATGGTCACTCTGACACAAAGCTAAAAAGTTCAGAGGAAAAAGTCAAAAGTCTTAAGCTCTGTCCATCAGCATGACAGTTACAGACATGTGTTCCTTTTTTCCCAGGGGGAAAAAAATGGCACCCACCCATCAGCTACATGGTTTTTATTTTGGCTTTTTGGGGGGGGGGCATTACTTGTGTGTGTTATGTAAGATCAATTTTATTTTATAAACATTTCATATTTAGTCCTTAGCACCAATTGGCTATATATGAGAAGCTGATCAGGCTGGTTGCTTTGGATGTGACTTTGCACTTAGGGGTATGATTTCACTGTGCCTGTGCTGTTCAGTTTATGCTGTGTGATGTTCTCTGCTTTGGCTTATTTTTAACCCTGGCAGCTTCTAATAAGTGTCAAATAAGCAGCTTCTAATAAGCTGCTTAGAAGCTGTTTCTAGTAAGTGTCTTTGCTTTGCGTTTCCCATCCCCAAAGAATTACACACTAGTCCTTTCCTCTTTACTTAAAGGTTCTCAAGCTGGCCATATGTATAGCTGTAGCTTGCCATTCAGGAGCTAGCAGTAAACCAAGGTATTAGCACTTTTAGAATTTTCTCCTTTTTTTTTTTTTTTTGAAAACAGAATTCAAACATTTTGCCATCTCAGATTCTCTGCGAATGCAATCTATTGTCCTGTAGATAATAATTTTAAACTGTTATTTTATGCAATATTTTTTTCCTTTAGAGTCTTTCAGCCATTACTTTAAAAGTGCCTCTGAAGAGTGGCAGTGGTAAGTGGCATTTTTTTTTTCCCTTGTCAAATGCAAATCTCTCACCTCCCAAGTGTGAACATACAAAGCTCTCTTACTGGCTGAGCTTTTTTTTAAATTTTTTTTTTTAATACCAAAATTAGGCCACAGTTAGCTAAACAGAGTGACCTGATTCGTGCTGGATCAACATGTTATCAACTCGAGGTTGTCACTACAAAGTAAGTGTGGTGAAATCTGCCTGTTCCAACTAAAATCAAAGCAGTCTCTTGACATATAGCAGTGCTGAAGTCAGCAGTTTCTCCAAAGTGGGTCTAAATGCAGATTGAAGGATCTCTTCTGTGTATATATGTAACTACCAGTACCAACCTAATTACTTATAATCAAATATTTTTTGTCATAATTTTTACTCAGGAGGACATGAGAGAAAAACAGTTCTAAGTGATTTTTTTTTTTGTTCTTTGGCTTTTCCTTATCTATAAAAGATTTGGCTTTGTGAGGTTTTTCTCTAAAGTAGGCCACCTGAGAGATCCCATGGAGTAATTCACTTTGCTGAGTTAGCACACGAGGCCGTTGGATAGAGTCTAAAAGACACTGCCAACTGTGAAGCAAATGAATCAATATCAGTGCAACTGGATCAGTTTGCTTCTTCTGATACGATGAGAAAAGCAATAGCACAGATGCAATACCTGACATACAGATTTAAAAAACCAAAATGTAAACACACACACACACACACACACACACATTGGGTTGGCTTTTATTGGAAAGCCTAGATGCAATCTATAGTTATCAATTCGTGGAAAATTCAGGACACATATAAAGTTAAGAAGGCAAATTAAAAGAACAATACAAATTGGACGAAATATACATCTCAAAATATCAGGATAGCATTTTGACTGGCATTGCCTAAAATACTTAGAATATCCTTTTTGTCTTTTTTCTCCTCTGTAATGTTCTTCTTTTAATTATGCATATTTTTTCTTTAAAAAGATCTTTTGTTTATATATTCCCCAAGGTCACTATTTCCTGCAGGAGCATGTCCAGATCACAAGTCTTTTTTAGCAAGAAATAGGCTCATTATACCTACTAACAAGGCCACTAATTGGCTTGATTTGACTTTATCTAAAATGATCACCAACAGATACAATAATTTGTTGTTTATTGGTGCCAGAACAAAGGAGAAGGAACTGGTATGCGTCAAGTAGAAGATATATTTCATTGTTGACATGTTACACAAGCTTTTCATATTCAAACAGAACAGAAACATTTGACATAATTTAGAATATGAGCCTATTTCAACAGAGAGCACTTACAGCATGCTAAATACAGTGCTGTGGAAGAGTCACCCAACAGAACTGCAAACACCTAGCATTTTACATCTTGAAAAAGAATACGTAGATCAATGACACGCCTCTGGGGTCTGACATACCATCCTGTCTAAATTTACGGCCCTCAAGACTTCAGGGGTAAAAATACTAACAACTAATCTGTGCTTTCACTCTAATAGATGATTAGCATTCATTATATGTGTAATTAGTTCTGTATGCTCTACCAAATACACACATACAGTAACAGCACTGATACTGTAGATTCGGTAGCAACTTGGCTGGGAGAAATTCAAATCTGTTTATCAAACAATCCTAATGTGCAATTTAGAGTATGTAATACCATAGACTCTCAGAATACAAAGCAGTTAGAAAACTATTTTTATTACATCCACTTGAACCATTCATAGTTAAGACACGTTCACTTACTATGTTTTGTCATTATAATACATGGATAGAAATACTGTGTATATTTCAATGAACATCAAAAACCCCAATTTTGTCTCATCTTAAAAATATTTATTTTTGTGGCTGAATTTAGTGCTCATGAGAGTAAAGCTCTAAGAATGGTTTCAGCCAAGATGTAGAACAGATGCCATAGACGCCACCACAGGCTTCCTAGAAGGAACCAGCTGCACGCTTCAGTTCTGTCCTGCAGCAAATATACTGGGCCTTGGAGCAGAGCATGCCAAATCTATGCAGTAGTGTGGAGATGCAGACTAGGCACTAGCATTGGACCTTCCTCTCCATCCCCAGGTTCAGTGTTCACAGTAATGGGATTTGATCTGCCAGCTGAAGGCCAGGAGGTGAACCTACTGAACAGCCTGCCTGCCTAAAGAGCAATTCCGTAGCATCAGGTCAGAGGTACGCTTCTTCTATCTGGAGTTACCAACATCTAAAAGAGCTGTATTATACAGAAGACAAAGTTGACATAACTGGATGAAACTACATCATTTCTTCTTCTTCTTCTACATACAATTTGCCAAGCACCTGAGACACTATTCTCTCCATTGTGAAACAAAGCTGCTAAAAAAACAACAGAAACCCCACCTGGTATGAATAAATGTCCATTTATTACATTAGGGCTGGAAAAAGACAAGGAAAACCCAACTATTAAAGTCTTCCATCATAATAAACGAGACTTATTTGGTTACTGTGCCTTCTTACAATGACTGATGAAGTGGCACTGGCCTCGGTGACAGGAGAGGTACGGGCAGGGAGGGAGCTGCGGTCTGATTCAGCCAGCCACTTCGCAGTGTCCCGTCCTATCAGCAGAGTGATAGATGCACAGTTTGAAACCTAATACAAAAATATTAACACTTTTGGACATTTGTCATCACTGTTATATCTCTACAATATAATCCTTTATACTGTACAGCTATAACATAAAAGGTGCAATTTCTTTTTCTTTAAAAAAATCACACACAGCACATGTTTTTATTGTTTTATTTTTAAGTATAAACTTTTTTAAACACTTTACATAAATTAACTCCTCTGAGACTAATATTTGATGTACAGTAAATTGTAATTCATATAAAAATCCATAAACAACTTGTCTCACATAATTTACAAAAAAATCAGGGTTTCCTTTGCTTATCTGCAACAAGGATTCTACTTGCCATTTTCCCCCCAAGGCAAATCATGTTAGCATTGTAAAATCCATTATTAAATTCCCATGGTAGCATAAGTCACTTGTGCCAATGTCCTTTTAGAAAGCAGCACAGTTTAAAGCAGTTGGGTTGTCTATAAACAGTAATTTTTGCCCCACATTTTAAAATTAACAGATATATACCACATCCTATGCAGTGAGAAAGAGAGAGAAAAAGAGAGAGAAAGAGAGAGACTACTTCTGGTAAGCAAAGGTCAACAATTCAGTAATATTTGGAAACACTGTATGGGTCTGTATCTTAATTAAATACAGTGCCTCAAAGGAACAGATAGCCTGTTGCAAAATCTGTAGGCCTTTTTCTTTTTTCTTCTTCTTTTTTTTTTTTAAATACTTTTCAGTCCAACTTGAGTGCAGCGATATGCATATGTAAACATATTCTTTAAAGCAGATCACCTTTAAGGTCATTGAGAAAAAAAAAAGTTTTGTCATTAGCAGTATCATTCTTCTGGAAGGCGCTCTTTTTGTTACAGAGTCTGTTTGGATTGTGCTACAGAAAAAATCTGAGCAAAGATGTATGCTTAGGCTCAAGTAGTAATGCAGCAAAACAGTTTGGTCTCCTTTTTAGAAGACACTGGTACACAGTCTCTTTGGCAGCCTGAGCTAAGCCAGTGTGTTACCTCTTTCCTATCTCACTTTGTCTGAGGAACTGTATGTTATTAGCGCTGTCTGCTAATTCTGGATATTGCTCCACAGAGAGTACATAGTACCCATCGTATCCTTGTACCTTCCCAGCACTTAGCAGCTGCCTCTTTTCTCCTTCTGTCCACAACCTGGCGCCTTCCTCTCCATCTCTTACTCTCTGTTGTTCTCTGGCCCAGGCACTGGAAAGAGCTCTTTGCCTGGCTTGCTCCAGTATTCGGGCCTTCTCCTCGTCGAGCGTCATGCCGTAGCGGACGTGAAGCGCTAAAGCACCATACTGCATTTCAACATCAGCAAACCTACGAGTCCTGCCGTTTACCACAGTGGTGGACTGGGAAACAGTGACATTGATGCCGTTCTCCAGGGCCTTCCGCCCACTTGTCAGCCTCAGTGTCCCAAGGTCGCTCTCGGGGGAGGTGGTCTTGATAAAATAGTGCGTGTCCTTTCCCTCAACGGTGAAATGCAAGTTTTCCAGGTAGTAGGCGTTGTTCAGAACGGCGGCCACTTTTATGCAGTCCTCATTCGCAATGTTGAGCACGTTTGTTTGCACTTTGCCTTGATTGACAGCGAGCATCACCCCTTTCCCAATCAGAGACTTCACCGTAGCAAACCAGAGCCAGGATTTCTCTCCACTGGATTTACGTCTGCTGACCTGCACTTCTGCCATCTTTCCTAGGGAAAGGAAAGCCTTTGCTTGTCTCGCCACTTGTTGTTGCACTCCAGAAATTGGCTGTAAACAAGAACAGACAGAAGTTTTACCAGCCATCTGTACCCCTGTAGATGCCAAACAGCCAGGCTTTCTTGGTGTGCTGCCCATGGACGACAACAGGATATGCCACAACTGACAGTGCCAAGGAGTTAATTAAATCTACATACTGCTTGTTCTGCAGAGTTACAAGACTACTTTGTTTGATATCAGTGCTTTTTCTCTTTGTCTCCCTGAGATCCAGAACAAAAATGAGACTTAATTCCAGAGGCTACTTACTGGGCTGCACAGGATAGACCTCTGCAATACTAAATATCAGTAAGAGCTATCTTACTACAGTGTCATCTCATGCTCTGAGCTTGTTCAACTATGATTTTATGACTCCTCTTTTCTATGAATCCATTCAAATTGGGGGGATTTTTGCAGGTCACGAAGCTGAATTTAGAAGTGCTGGAACAAGCCCTTCTTTATGCTTAGTCAGGAGATAGAGTCCCTTGGATAGCGGCAGTAAGACCAAACTGCGAGGGAGCTCTGGTAGCCCCTCAAGCTGCTGAAGGGGAGGAGGGGAATCAAACTGTAATGATAGCTTTTACAGCAAAAGAGAAGGAAGAAAACAGTAAAGAGGAGTAAGGTGAAATACTGGGGACTGATGCCCTTTCTTGCAGATACTTGCAGAAACTGGTAAGAGGGGATGTGTGAAAAGGCTGTGGCAAATTCAGTTGCGTGAGCTTCCATTTCACTCCAAAGTATCACCAATGCTGCCCAAAACAGATGAGCAGCTTCTATCCCCCCAAACTTCAGGTGGGAGTGATCCTGAATACAGCAGAGTGCTTTGTTGATAGGTAGCAAAGACAAGAGGCGAAGAATTAAAAGAACCAATGCGCAAGTCTAAAATATGCTTGCTTGGTGTTTCATGTTTTGCTGTATCTGGGGTGTTCTTGTTGAAAAGGTAGGTGTGCTATAAAGAGGAGGAAAGAAGAGGTGCAAATTGTGAGGTGCAAAAGCACAAGATGGAAAAGCTAGGATAGGAGAATCTGTGACAGTTTATTTGGACTGTTAAGAGCTATACGTAGCCCAGTATGCCAGATGGACTTTTGGTAAAGAGCATAGCTGGGAGACGGGACCTGCTAGCGCAACCACTGTGGTTAGCCGGAACAGCTAGAAGAGCAGGAGCAGCTAGCAGGAAGGGTTAGGTAGATTGCGGGGCAGCTCATGTTACGGGGTCAACTGTGGTGGAGATGAGACCTTACGATGGCGCAGAATAGGCATGTCTTATCTGTCTAACCCTGGATCTTAACAGCTACAAGCTGTGAATGAGCTAGTATTGACAGAGGTGGGGAGCAGACAGCTGCCCTAGCAGTCATCTCA